ATGGACAGCGTGTGGGAGATGCGCCATGTGAATTGAACAACACGGATTCGAAAGGAATCTCCCACTTCTACATTGGAGGGGATGGGGGCAGCGCAGGGAGCAAGGAAGACGTGCCTGTGACCGCGACGAATGTCCTGCTGTACAACCGCCCGTTGGATGACAATGAGATCCGCGTCCTCAACGCAAACAAAATTTCTATTCCAAAGCTGACAGATCTGAAAACATTGGCGGCAGGAGCAACGGGTGTCGGTGCCGCTCGCCACTTTGGGGCAAATGGTGATGGCAGCGCTGTTTGCGGAGGCGGACTGCTGCCGCTGCTGCTTCTGCTGGGACTGTGGGGGATTGCCGCTTCTTGAGGAGTGTGTGGTCTCGGCGTGGAACACCTCAGCACCGAATTACTTCCCCATGGGAACAAATTTCACTCATAAATCTTTTTTTGTTTTGCGTATTTTAAATTTATTTTAATGTTTGCTTCTTTTTGGTTGATTTCACTTTTTTTTTTTTACTTTCTTTTTTTTGCGTGTTTTTTTTTCTAATCTCCCATCCCTTTTTTTTGCTTTTGGGGGCAATCACTAAGGACGTTTTTCTTTTCTTTTCTACTCTTCCCTCTTTAATTGTTTCTTCTGCACTCTTCCTGTGAGGGTGCCGTGTGTTTCCGCCCAACTGCTCCACTCGCACACCCACCGACACGCTCATGACGACGGCCCTGTGCGCCTCGCCTGCTGCACGCATGAGGAGGGGCGGCGACGAACGGCGCGCTGAGGGAGCCGTGACGTGTGGGCGTGCGACGAGGGCCTGTGGGGCGGAGCGCACATTTCTTCCCTCTTGTTTTGTTTTCTTTTATTGCGGTCAGGGCGGGCAGACACCCGCAGCGCCACACACACAGCCACACCCTGCCGCCGTGTTTTTAAGATTTTTTTTTTGCGTGCATTTCACGCGCCGGCAGTCCCTTCGCTGTCGGCCTCGTGAGCATTTCTTTTCCCTCCTGATGATTTTTTCTTTTGCTGCGCTCACTCTCCCGATGGAGTGACGCGACTCCCGTTATGTCTGCGTGCTTCTCTCAGTCCCCACACACACGAGTGACTGTGCTCTGCGGGCCGCACTCACGCGCCGATGGGAGGGCTGAGGGGAGCAGCAACACGCAGATGACCCCGTGAAATATAAACGATGTGCGGACACACAGAGGGTCGGACGGTTGAAAGACATTTAAATATCTTTTAATTTTATTTTGCGGGCAAAATACATACAGACAGTTTGGTGTGGCCACACGGCAGCCGGCTGTCTCTTTTAAATTTGTGTGGAACAGTAATGGACGATTTCTTTTTATTTATAATTATTTTGTGTGATGGGGTTTGTGTAAGTTGAGGGGAAAGCTTTTTTTTGTTTTCAATAAATACTGTGTGAATTGCCGCTGCTTGGACTGCGGTGCAATCGTGAGTTTGAGCGGTCTTCTTCTTGTTGCTTCCGCCATGCGTCCCCGCTGTACATTTTGTGTGTCCCTCCACATACTCTGCTTCCTTTTCTCTGCTTCTTTGCTTTGTGTTTCTGCAGGCACACACACACACACACAAGATGCACATTGCAGTGGATTTGAATGCTTCTTTTGCAGTGCATGCTGGCAGTTGCGTGTGGCGGCTGTTGTCTTCCTCCGTGGCCATGAGGAGAAGGGAGGAGGGAGTGCGCAGCCCGCGTCACCTTTCCTGCGGGTGTGGAGCACCGCGTATGGGCAACAAAAGGAAGGAACAAGGGGAAGAAACACGTCACTCCTGACAGTGCGCGGCAGGCAACCATTGGGGAAAAACACAGGGATGCTGATTATTCCAATAGGGCAAAGGCAGCAAAAATAAATAAATAAAAGAAAATAAAAAAGCTTAAATTATTGACAAAACTCAGTGGGTAATGCTGGCAAGCTGCACAGTTATTGCTCCACGAAAAGCCGCAGTTCCACCCTCCCTCACACCTCAGCAGAGTGCCGCAGTGTCTCACAGCCCCAGAAGTAGAAGCAACAACACGCGAGACAGACACCCATGCACGGTGATGTCACCAATTTCGGCCATGGTCAACAAATCCGTGAAGTGCCCGTGCTCACAAGAACCGTTGCTCACAAGTGATGCTGCGTTGTGCTCCGATGGGATCTCTGGTTTCCCAGACGTTGTGCGCAAATAATCCTGTGCGGCATCACCGCCACCCGACACGTTATCACTCGTTCAGCATTTGCTAGGGCTGTGCTGGGCCCAGGCGTGGCTGTTGCACCATCCAAGGGCATTAGATCGCTGTTGCCGAGTGAATCGGGGCCGCTGCCCATGCCCACGGCGGTGGACGGCTCGTCGTCTCTCGCTGAACGTGCGTCTGGATCCGCTGCGCTGCCACTTTACTCCCCGGACAGCCGTGCTCTCTGTGGTGCCTCACCGCGCAGCTGCTGGCAGCCTTGCGTGCTCCTGCCGAGCGGAGTGTCCTGCCACTGAGCTTGGCCACAGACAGTTTTCAGTTCCCCGCCTGGCAGCAGCATCCCAATCGCCCACACGAATTCCTGCCGCCACAGACTCCCTCTCGGCGATGGAGTCACTCCGTCTTGGCTCGCTGGCGGCGCACGACGACGTCACCGGGGAGATTTGTACCGTGCCGCTTTCACTGGTGGATCGAGTTCGCACTGTTGGCTTCACATTTTCACCATGACACTGCGGAGCCCCACGCAAAGTGACAGCGGACGTTGATGCCATCATGGCACGATCCCTCCCGCAGGACTGCGTCAATGCCTGGCACGTGGGCCTCCTCACTGCAGTCAGGCGGCCGTACTGAAAGAAATTCCAGGAGGAAAAGAAGGGCACACACCGCGTGACGGGCGCCTGTCGGTGTGGCGGAACTCACTTCCTGGTGTTGACCCGGACATCGTGCTCGATCGGCGGACCTCCGCACAGGCGCGATGCGACTCCTGCCCGCTCTTCGACAGGCCCGCGCGCCCTGCGGATCACAAGTAACTCCCTGTGTCGGTGGTGCCGTCCCTTTCTTTACCGAGGAGACCGGCCCGCCTCTGCCTCCGCCGGAACCTCTTCCAGACGAGAACTCCGCAACATCTTGTCGACCAGCGAGCGGCGGATTGATGTCCTCCTGCCCAATCGGCTGCAGAGTGCGCCCGTTTGTCCGCAGCGTGACGGCACATGCCCGACGTGCTCGGCCTGGCGTTATAATAGTTTGACAGGCCTCACATGCGGATGCCACAATGGCGCCACCGTCTTCTTAGCAGGCACCTCGCGCGCTGGTCGCCACCGAAGTCGCAAGCATGCCAGTAGGCAAGGCACGCAGGAAGCACAAACGCGGACACTCGAGATGGACCAGGCCCTTCCGCCACCGCCTCCTCACAGACGTCGCGGGCTGCTGATTCCCCGAAGAACCACGGGAGACTCCGCTTCATCCACTGTGGTAATGTCCTGTCATTGACAATATGGATTGTGACTGTTTGGGACTGCTCCAGCCTGCACGACGGCCTGTTTGCGACGGCATACTTGACACTTTTGTACGGGGAACCCTTGCGCTATTTGCTCATTCCGGCGCGAGAAAAACAATATAAAAAGTTATTTTGTGATGAATATTGGCTGCACTTCCCGTGGACCAACAATCCGCGTGGTGTGCGGGGATCGCTCCTTCTTTTATTGTTACTTTGCTTTTGTGTTGCTGTGTGCGCCGCACCTCCTCTTGTGTGTGTGTGTACCCTCCGTGAGGGGTGCCGACACGACGGACCGCTCTCGCCGTATGTGCATGCGGTGGAGCCTTGTGTGCCGCTCCTGTTTGCTTCTCCCTCCTCCATCTGTGTGTTGTTGTTGCGGCAGGGCTGTGTGTGTGTGTGCCTGCTGCTGTGGATTGGAGTGTGTGTCGTGCGTGGTGTGCGGCGTACGATGCATGCCTGGCTGCTGCCCTCTCCTCATGTGGTGTGCCCTCTGTGTGTGTCTGCCGCACCTCTCGTCTCCCTGTTGCTCTCCATGTCCCTCACTGTGCAGATCAGCTCCACACCACTGAACGACCACACTCACGATGATGACGTGCCGTCTGCTGTGCGCCCTGTTGGTGCTCGCCCTGTGCTGCTGCCCGTCCGTGTGCGTGGCAACAAGTGAAGGTGAAGCTGGTGAACCTGGTTTAAAGGATGACGAGAAAGGGCAACAAGGTCAGGTAACGGATCAGCAGAGTGCAACTTCTCCTTCGCCACCGAGTGGAGAGGAGGAGGAAGAGAAAGAGGAACAGAAACCAAGTACGTCGACTCATACGTCACAGGAAACGGCTAAAGCAACCGGAACGCCACAGTCAGAAAGTAGTTCCAATAATACAAAGGATCAAGATCATGGTCAATCCACTAAGGAACAGACGGAAAATACGAACACTAACACTTCAAATGAACAACATAAGGAATCAAATGCACCAACCACGACCACCACAAAGGCACCGACCACTACGACCACCACGACCACCACTGCACCAGAGGCACCAAGTAATACGGTCATAAATGCAGAGGCGCCAACTACAACAACCACCACCCGTGCACCGTCACTTCTTCGCGAAATTGACGGCAGCCTCAGCAGCTCTGCGTGGGTGTGTGCCCCGCTGCTGCTCGCCGTATCCGCGCTGGCGTGCACCACTCTGGGCTGAAGAGGTGTGTGTGGGCTGTGCGTGCCAGCACTCAACCACGGGGATTTGTGTGTGTCTACTGTGGTCCGATGTAAATAAATAATAGAAAATTATGATCTTCTGTTCTGTTCCATTTGCTTCTGCTGCGCTGCTGTGTGCTCTGCGTTGTTGATCCCTTTATCCGTCACGTTGAGCGCATCGCAGACACACTAGTACGCACGAGACGCCCACAGCTTTTTGCGTGGACGCATGTCTGTGTGTGGATGCATGTACGCTGGAGTCATCTGTTGCAGCTGTTTTTTTGTGTGTGTTTTTTGTTTTTACTTTTTCTTTTTTACTTTCTTTTTTTTTGTTACTTTTTTGGTGTGTTCATTTTCCCTGTTTTCTACTTCCTTCGGGGCGTTGTGAGTTTTTTTCATTTTTTTAATGGTTTATTTTCTTTAATTTTTTAAATTTCTTTTGTTTCCTAATCTTTTGCTCCACCATCTTTTCTTTTTTTTTGCTTTTGGGGCAATCACTAAGGACTTTTTTTCTTTTCTACTCTTCCCTCTTTAATTGTTTCTTCCGCACTCTTCCTGTGAGGGGTGCCGTGTGTTTCCCGCCCAACTGCTCCACTCGCACACCCACCGACACGCTCATGACGACGGCCCTGTGCGCCTCGCCTGCTGCACGCATGAGGAGGGGCCGCGACGAACGGCGCGCTGAGGGAGCCGTGACGTGTGGGCGTGCGACGAGGGCCTGTGGGGCGGAGCACACATTTCTTCCCTCTTGTTTTGTTTTTGCGGCGAGGGCGGGCAGACACCCGCAGCGCCACACACACAGCCACACCCTGCCGCCGTGTTTTTAAGATTTCTTTTTTTTTTTGCTGCGCTCACTCTCCCGATGGAGTGACGCGACCGCCGTCGTGTCTGCGTGCTTCTCTCAGTCCCCACACACGAGTGACTGTGCTCTGCGGGCCGCACTCACGCGCCGATGGGAGGGCTGAGGGGAGCAGCAACACGTAGATGACCCCATGAAATATGAACGATGTGCGGACACACAGAGGGTCGGACGGTTGAAAGACATTTAAATATCTTTTAATTTTCTTTTGCAGGAAAAATATATACAGACAGTTTGGTGTGGCCACACGGCAGCCGGCTGATTTTTTAAATTTGTGTGGAACAGTAATGGACGATTTCTTTTTATTTATAATTATTTTGTGTGATGGGGTTTGTGTAAGTTGAAGGGGAAAGTTTTTTTTTTGTTTTCAATAAATCTTGTGTGAATTGCCGCTGCTTGGGCTGCGGTGCAATCGTGAGTTTGCGCGGTCTTCTTCTTGTTGCTTCCGCCACGCACCTCCGCTGTACATTTTGTGCGTCCCTCCACATACTCTTCTCCTTTTCTCTGCTTCTTTGCTTTGTGTTTCTGCAGGCACACACACACAAGATGCAAATTGCAGTGGATTTGAATGCTTCTTTTGCAGTGCATGCTGGCAGTTGCGTGTGGCGGCTGTTGTCTTCCTCCGTGGCCATGATGAGAAGGGAGGGAGTGTGCACCCCGAGTCTCCTTTCCTGCGGGTGTTTTCCACCACGTGTGACTGCGTTGAGTTGGTCTCCGTGTCCCATTGATGGCGGGATGGCTGAAAATTTTGGTGCCGCGTCATGGATGGATGAGGGTCCACTGTCGCGTGTGGCTGGTGTGGTGGGTGCTCGCTCCGTATGCGTTGTGTGGTGGCCGCGGGTTTTTTGCCATTTCCCGTTGGCTGTGGGAATGAGCTGGGAGGAGATGGTGGTGGATGTCTTCTCCTCCTGCATGGTGGGCGGCTGCTGGCGTTGTGTGCCTTTCCTGCGTGGATGCCGTCTCGTGGTGTGTGAACTGTGCGGCTGGTCCTGCTGCCCTCTCCGCATGTTGTCTGCTCTCTCTCTCTGTATTCGCTGTGCCCCGTCCCTCTCCCTCTTGTTGCGTTCTTTTTCTTCTGTACCACCGATCAGTTCACTGACTCCAGCGACTCCACTACGGGTGACGATGGCTGCGATGATGACGGTGCGGCGCCGTGTTGGTCCTTGCGCTCTTGTGCTGCTGCTGCTCGTCCGTGTGCGTGACGGCGACAGGAGACGGTAATAATGATGACAGCAGTCCTCCCAGCCCTGAGCTAGGGAAACCAGATCCTACAAAAAATATGCCTGGTGCATTACAGCCAGAGGGTGGGGAGACCGGTGGGCCACAGACAGAGAGTGGGAGAGACAGGGAGGAAGGTGTAAGAAGTCAAGGACCTTCTTTGCCAACGGAAGCCGGCACAGCCATCACTGGACAGACACGAGTTCCGCCAGAGTCACTGAGTTCGGCTAACGATAATCCAGAGCCACGAGGTTTGGCAACTCAGTCTCCACACACACACAAGGCGCGACCGGTATGTCAGATGCACAAAATAAAAGGCGCAGTAAAATACACAAGTTGATGGGAGTCATAAAGCAGAGATACAAAAACCAGAAGCTCAAAATGTCTAATGTAAATACAACAACTACAGAGGCGCCAACTACGACGACCACCCGCGCACCGTCACCTCTTCGTGAAAGCGACGGCAGCCTCAGCAGCTCTGCGTGGGTGTGTGCCCCGCTGCTGCTCGCCGCATCCGCGCTGGCGTACACCACTGTGGGCTGAAGAGGTGTGTGCGGGCTGTGCGTGCCAGCACTCAGCCACGGGGATTTGTGTGTCTACTGTGGTCCGATGTAAATAAATAATAGAAAATTATGATCTTCTGTTCTGTTCCATTTGCTTCTGCTGCGCTGCTGTGTGCTCTGCGTTGTTGATCCCTTTATCCGTCACGTTGAGCGCATCGCAGACACACTAGTACGCACGAGACGCCCACAGCTTTTTGCGTTGACGCATGTCTATTTGTGAGTGCATGTGTGCTGGAACTATTCGATGCGGTTTCTTGTTTTTTTTACTGTTTTAGTTTATTGCTGCTTGTTTACTCTTTTTTTAATTTTATGTGTAGTTTTGGTTTGCAGGGCGGTGTGTGGTTTTTGAAATTGCACGGATATCACGTGTCTCATGGTGTGCGCGCTGCTACTGCGCTGCTGCTTTTTGCTTTGCAGTGGCTGTGTGACTTATAGCTGCCGTGTCTTTTCCTTTTGCTTTCACTCTGCGTTGACGTGGCGTTAGTTTGTGCTGAAGGCCACACGCAAGTGACAGGAGTGATGGCGATGATGACTGGCCGTGTGCTGCTGGTGTGTGTCCTCTGCGTGCTGTGGTGCGGTGCCGGCGGTGGGGTTTATGCAAGGGATCGTGACAACAACGCAGTGGATGGCTGCTTGGTGTCTGGAGGTTTTGGAGCCAAAAAATCGTATGTGAAGAGCGGCCGTGAGAAAACTGCGCTCACGCTGCCTTTGCGGTCCATGTTGCCCATCCCCGCCATACAAGCCGAGGAAGAGCAAGAAGCACGTGAGTCAGAGGAAGGGACCACTTTGGGTTCAGTTGCGACTATAGGTCCGGGTTCTGTTTCTGGTGGAGGTCACGGTACTGTTGTTCCTGGAGGTGCTGTCGATTCCGGTGGTGGGCCCAATTTGAAATCATCTTCTGTTGATACGACTGTAACTCACGGTGGTGGCGGCGCGGGTTCTACAGGTGACCCTTCATCCACTTCGCAGGGTAATTCCCAAGAAAGAGCTTTGCCAGAAGTAGGACCAAAGCCTCAACAGTCTTCATTGCTTGAAGAAAAGGCGGCAGTGGTAAACCCCGCTGTAGTGGAGCCAACAAAAAATTCTGCTCCAGCAGGGGGTGGAAGAGTTGAAAACGACGCCCAGTCGCGTGCGGATGGTCAACCCCGCTTAGACGAATCAACCAAAGGAAAAGGGAATTTGGACCCCACCGAAGCAAGAGCATTACCAGGGGACACAAATCAAACACTGCAGGGCGGTGAGAAGGCCGTACCCGACGTATCTAAAGCAACAGAGCCGGAGCCCAAAACTCAACAACAAACAGAACCTTCAGAGGATAAGAATGACAGTCACAACACGCATGCATCCACAAAATCACCTGATGTGCCAAAAGGAAACAATGCGAAGGAAGGAAACAACGAGGATCCTTCACACACACCAGTTACACCGCAGAGTACATCAACTAGCAGCTGTGTCACCTTCAACTGGAACTCCTACATCCAACGAGGAAAAATCCGCAGTAACGAAGAAAACTGAGGATCCTCAACTCTCAGATACTTCAGAGACAGAAAAACGCCAAACTGGCGATAATGAAAAGGTTGACGACAGCGACAGCAGCACCACAATGAGTGAGGCAGCACCACAAACAGCAATAACAATTACCGCCGCCCAAACAAATCATACGGTGACGACTGGCGACAGCGACGGCAGCACCGCGGCCTCCCACACCATTTCCCCTCTTTTGCTTCTTCTTGTTGCGTGTGCGGCTGCTGCGGTGGTGGTGGCCGCGTGAGAGTGAGGGAGAGAGAGCCATGCACCGCCCGCACACACACTCGTCCTTCTCTCTCTGTGTGTGTGTGTCCCCTTGCATGGACTCTCGCCCTCACCTCACCCCACGAAGCACACACAATAATGTGCCCATTGTATATATGCATGCACGCCCATGCAGCCCGTTGGTGCTCTCTTTTGCAGCACACGCACCGCTGCCGTCCTGCCTGGCTGCATGGGCGGAGCACCGTAACTGTTTCTGTTTTGTTTTTATTGCATTGAGTGGGCGACCTCTCTCTCTCTCCCTCTGTGTGTGTGTTTTGCTTTACGGGAGCAATGAGAGTGTGTGTGCGCTGGTTGCCCCACGCTTCGGCTTTTTGTTTTGTTTTTTTATTGTTTTTTTTTTTGCAATTTTTTAAATTTATTTCGTGTTTGTTTCAAAATTCTTTTTTCGTTTTTTGTTTGTTTGTTTTTCCAACGTCCCCACATCCCTTTTTTTGCTTTTGGGGGCAATCACTATGGACGTCATTTTTTCTTTTCTACTCTTCCCTCTTTAATTTTTTTTTCCGCGCTCTCCCTGTGAGGGGTGCCGTGTGTTTCCGCCCAACTGCTCCACTCGCACACCCACCGACACGCTCATGACGACGGCCCTGTGCGCCTCGCCTGCTGCACGCATGAGGAGGGGCCGCGACGAACGGCGCGCTGAGGGGCTGCGACGTGTGGGCGTGCGACGAGGGCCTGTGGGGCGGAGCGCACATTTCTTCCCTCCTGTTTTGTTTTCTTTTTTGCGGCCAGGGCGGGCAGACACCCGCAGCGCCACACACACAGCCACACCCTGCCGCCGTGTTTTTAAGATTTCTTTTTTTTTTTTCTGCGCTCACTCTCCCGATGGAGTGACGCGACTCCCGTCGTGTCTGCGTGCTTCTCTCAGTCCCCACACACACGAGTGACTGTGCTCTGCGGGCCGCACTCACGCGCCGATGGGAGGGCTGAGGGGAGCAGCAACACGCAGATGACCCCGTGAAATATAAACGATGTGCGGACACACAGAGGGTCGGACGGTTGAAAGACATTTAAATATCTTTTAATTTTATTTTGCGGGCAAAATACATACAGACAGTTTGGTGCGGCCACACGGCAGCCGGCTGCTTTTTTAATTTGTGTGGAACAGTAATGGACGATTTCTTTTTATTTGTAATTATTTTGTGTGATGGGGTTTGTGTAAGTTGAGGGGAAAGTTTTTTTTTTGTTTTCAATAAATCTTGTGTGAATTGCCGCTGCTTGGGCTGCGGTGCAATCGTGAGTTTGCGCGGTCTTCTTCTTGTTGCTTCCGCCATGCGTCCCCGCTGTACATTTTGTGCGTCCCTCCACATACTCTGCCTCCATTTCTTTACTTCTTTGCTTTGTGTTTCTGCAGGCACACACAACCACACACACACAAGATGCAAATTGCAGTGGATTTGAATGCTTCTTTTGCAGTGCATGCTGGCAGTTGCGTGTGGCGGCTGTTGTCTTCTTCCGTGGCCATGAGGAGAAGGGAGGAGGAGTGCGCAGCCCGCGTCTCCTTTTCTGCGGGTGTGGAGCACCGCGTGTGACTGCGTTGAGTTGGTCTCCGTGTCCCATTGATGGCGGGATGGCTGAAATTTTGGTGCCGCGTCATGGATGGATGAGGGTCCACTGTCGCGTGTGCCTGGTGTGGTGGGTGCTCGCTCCGTGTGCGTTGTGTGGTGGCCGCGGGTTTTGGCCATTTCCCGTTGGCTGTGGGAATGAGCTGGGGGGAGATGGTGGTGGATGTCCTCTCCTCCTGCATGGTGGATGGCTGCTGGCGTTGTGTGCTTTTCTTGCGTGGATGCCGTCTCGTGGTGTGTGAACTGTGCGGCTGGTCCTGCTGCCCTCTCCGCATGTTGTCTGCTCTCTCTCGCTGTATCCGCTGCACTCCGTCCCTCTCCCTCTTGTTGTATTCTTTTTCTTCTTTCTCACCGATCAGCTGACTGGCTCCAGCGACTCCACCACGGGTGACGATGACTGCGATGATGACGGTGCGGCGCCGCGTTGGTCGTTGCGCTCTTGTGCTGCTGCTGCTCGTCCGTGTGCGTGACGACTGCTGGGAGTCCTGGAGATGCATCTGGTGATGCGGATGCGGTGGTAGTGCCGGTGAATGTGTCGTGTGCTCCGAGTGACGGCGGCCTGAGCTATCGCGTGCATGTGTGCATGTGTGGGTGGAAGAAGTGTTCTGCTGCCAGTGCCGAGGCTGAGTGTGAGAATTATACCTTTAGTGGCTTTGGTGTGCGCATGCATGGCAGGAATGGTGAGCTGGGTGCTGTGCGCCATGTGGCCAATGCGGTGCACACGTGTAGCAGCTGTGCAAGGAGAAAGGGGCCACCGTTGCCTTCACGATGAATGTGACGACGCATAAATACGCCGGCCCTTATGAATTGTGGTGGCGTCAATTTCCCCGATGGAACCATCCATCCGCCTGCACGGAGCAGCGATGCTGACCGGACGGGCATCTGTCAGTTGCCGCCACCCCGTGAAGGGAAGGATGACACAAAATCTGGCGGACAACTGCGCCGCAAGTTAATGCTGAGCCGTCACGTCAGCACGAGGATTGGCGACAGTCTGCGGCGGCTGACGGACCCAACACCGTCGATCGGAGTCCCGCATCCAACACGGCGACCAACACGTCCGAGACGAGGCCTGAGTTTGCCAGCAATCCGAACTAAGTGATGGTCCCGAATGCATCCAAGAAGAGGCCTTCCTTTGCCAACGGTCCGAGAATAGTAGTGGAGTCGAATGCATCGGGGATCATGTCTGTCACTTGTGGCGGCAGGGAACACGTTGCTGCGGATAACACGGACGAGGTGAGTGAGCGCAACGCCACCGGACACACATCTCTCGTTTTATAAAATGGCGTTGCAGGCAGTGGATTTGTTGCTGAGGGTGATGCGGACGGATTGACTCAAAGCAATGCCTCTGGACACGGGAACCCCAATTACGAGAATTCAACGCGCAGTATTCCGGGAGCGGTGTGAGTCTACACGACTGCTTCGCCCTGCTCAACGACGCGAAATTGAGACTGCGAGAGTTAACTGTTGACGGCACTGTGCGTGTGTGCGTGTATTGGGTGTTGCCGCTTCTTCTGGGACTGTGTGGAGTTGTGGCGGTATTGTGAGCCGAAGAGTGTGGCATTGCGACTTCTCACGGAGAACATGTGCCGCGTTCTCTGCGTGTATTCTTTTCGGTTTCTTTTTGTTTTTTTTTGCTGTTGTCTTCCTGGAATGATAAGCATCCTTGCTGTTCCTTTATTTAATGGTCGGTTGCCGCACACCGCCATGTGTGACGTGTTTCCCCCTTTTGTTTTCATTTGCTGCCCACACGCGTTTCCGGCCCTGCGGCTGTACGTCCCACGGACTGCACGAAAGGAGGATTGGAGGAACAGGCCGGATGCCGCATGACGTGTGAAGGGTGTTGTGTGGGCTGGTGGAAGAGTAGGATCTCTTTTATTTATTTTAATTCCGCTTCTTTTTTGTTGGTGCGGGCAATATGTATATACGCGATCACACGGTTGGTCGTATTGTGATGCTCAGTCCATGAAATAAAAGTCCCGCCAAATCAATTTTTACTTCATTTTTTTCTTTTAATTTTGGGAGTTATACCGGACCCTCATCTTTTTTTTGTTTCCTTAAATCCCTGCGGTCTGTTTCTCTAGTTACCGTATCTGCTGTCGCTTTGTGTCTCCGTGTCCCTTTGAGTGTCCCTCTGCTGGCTGTGCTGTTGGCATGCCCCCACTTCTTCTTTCTTCTTTCCTGCTAGAGGCACTGATGGTCCGCGACGACGATTTTTTGTGCTCCCCTTTGCGATGGCAGGAGGGTGACTGGGCGGCGGCCTGCTGAGTGCACATGGAGGGAACGGATGGTGTGCGCCGTCCCTCACTGTGGGTGTGGGACGCCAATCCGTCGGGGAAGGGAGAAGTGAAGGACTGTGCTCTGGACTAGGATGCGCTCCGTCCCTTTTTCCCTGCGGTTGTGTGTGTGCTGTGCGCATGGATCTTTCTTGCAGTGCGACGTGGATCGCGTTGCTTTTGCATGTGCCCTTGTGCGCGTGCTGTGCGTTGGGTTTCTCTTCCCCATGACACCGCCCTTGTGTGCGGGTGAGTGGAGGGAGCGGAGATGTCTGAGGGTGGCCGTTGTTTTCGTACATTTGCGTTTTCCACACACGTGGCACCACTCGGCAGCCTCTTGCAGCACCAGGCCGTGGATTGAGAGGATGGGTCTGCTCCAAGCACAATAAAGACAACGAGATGCAGTGCATGACGGCCAACCTGAACTGCGGGTGGATCCGGCGCATGGAGCACGTGCGACAGTACGCGTTGGGTGTTGCGCTCATGATTTTGGAGGAGAGGCGGCACGACATTGTGGCGCTGTGTGTGTTGTGTGGCGGTGGCATGCCGGCGATTGTGAGGGACGTGGAGGACACGGAGCTGCTTGACTGGGAAGAGGTGGCTTACGTTGCGGCGCAGCGGGAGCGCATGACGGCTGCGTGCGGTGGGAGGACCCGACGATCCCGAGGCCTGTGCTGGAGGGGCGTGTGTTCAAGTGAGCGTGGCGTGCCTGTGAGGGCCTGAGGAGAGAGAATAACGGTAATAGTGACTGTGGGAGTGTGAGGAACGGTGCACGGCGAGGATTAATTCTTTCGTTTTTTGATTGCTGTTGTTTGTGTGTGTTTTGATTGTTGTTGAACGGCGCCCACCCAATTGTTGTTGTGGTGCGTGAATCTCATTGCTGGATAGGACGGTGCGTGGCTGTGTGACTTGTCTTTTTTTGTTTTCACTCTGCGTTGACGTGTTGTTAGTTTGTGCTGAAGGCTGCACGCAAGTGACAGGAGTGATGGCGATGATGACTGGCCGTGTGCTGCTGGTGTGTGCCCTCTGCGTGCTGTGGTGTGGTGCCTGCTGTGGTGGATGTTCTGAAAAACCTCCAGTTCCTCCAGCTTCTCCGTCCAGTAAAGACAAGGATCCTCCAGAAGTCGAAGAGACCACAGGTCTCGCTGCAGGAGATGACCAAAGCGGTAAACAGAAAGCGCCACAAGCAGCAGCACCAACGGCGCCAGAATCACAGGAAGTGCCAGCGAAATCGTCACAGGCACCACAACCCGAAGGAATAGTATCAGAAACAACAAATACAACGAAGGACAACAACGATCAAAAAGAAGAAGGTGGTAAAAAGGGGGAAAAAGAAAAGGGGGCAGAGGAAGAGGAAGAGGAAGAGGAAGAGGAAGAGGATGGTGCGAAAGAAAACGGGGAGACAAAGAAAGAAGAAGCTGTTACCGGCACCACAGAGGGGACCTCAGCAGGCGGTCAAGAGCAGCGAAGTTTATCTTCTGGTGCGGAGGGAGCATCGAATATAACAAATCCCAACAGCACACAAACAACTGGAGACGATGACCCAGCAGCTGATGTTGCAGGGACAGCAGAGGGAAAACAAAGTGAAAATGAAGATGCCAATCCGAAAGAAACACCATTGACGGCCGCAGCCATGAAAAATGGCACAGCGACGCCTGGTGACAGTGACAGCAGCACCGCGGTCTCCCACACCACCTCCCCTCTTTTGCTTCTTCTTGTTGCTGCGTGTGCGGCTGCTGCTGCGGTGGTGGCCGCGTGAGAGTGAGGGAGAGAGAGCCGTGCACCGCCCGCACACACACTCGTCCTTCTCTCTCTCTGTGTGTGTCCCCTTGCATGGACTCTCGCCCTCACCTCACCCCACGAGGCACACAATAATGTGCCCATTGTATATATGCATGCACGCCCATGCAGCCCGTTGGTGCTCTCTTTTGCAGCACACGCACCGCTGCCGTCCTGCCTGGCTGCATGGGCGGAGCACCGTAACTGTTTCTGTTTTGTTTTTATTGCATTGAGTGGGCGACCTCTCTCTCTCTCCCTCTGTGTGTGTGTTTTGCTTTACGGGAGCAATGAGAGTGTGTGCGCTGGTCGTCCCACGCTTAGGCTTTTTATTGCTGTAATTGTCTTGTGGTTGAGTGCACCCATTACTTTTTTTTTTTTTGATTGGCAGTTTGCTTTGAGTGCGTAAGTCTAAATTCGCTTTTTGTATTTTTTCTTTTTTCTTTTGAGGTATTGTGAGTGTTTCTTACTCTTGTCAAGCCATGAAGTATTTTCTGTTACGTGCAGCATGCGTCAGTTGATCCACGTCACTTCACGGTCTGCAGTGCTGTTGGTGCTTCTGGTTGTGATGATGTTTGTGATGTGTTGTGCTGGCGGGTGCTTTGCTGCCAGCTTGACGTACTCCTGCTCCTCTGACAAGGCGATGCGTGCGGACAGGGCGATGTCGGTCCTGGCTGTGGTGAGGGACGTGCCTTTTGGATCTGAGGGTGCGTCGCAGACATGCACCGTCATTGGGAGGAATGGATGGGCGCCCACCCGCATCGATGTGTCGACAAGGGACCTGGATGGCACCAGGAAGTATTGCAGCTCGGAGCGGTATTGTACAATGAATTCATTGTTGGCAATTGCGAGTGTGAAGGTGACGTTTTTCTATGCTGAGGAAAGGGAAATATTTGTTTCGTTATACCTTGCAGCCACTGTCCGTTAATGGCCTGCGGGCTGTCCGTAGCGACGTGGCCAGTTTTTCCCTCTTGAACGGTGCTGTCGTGCGAGAGGTGATGTTTCCAAATAGTCGGATGCTCAGTTGTCGAGGACGGGGGCATTCCCACTGCGTGTGCGGCACGGCCTCCCGTGGATTGTCGGGGGCTCAGCGGCTGATGGGGGTTGCAGCAGAGGAGTGGCTGAAGGGCTACGGCTGTCATTGGAGCCTGCAGAGGTGCGTTGTCCGTTTTTTGCTCGTTGATACGCCTGACATTTTCGGTAGTGACCTGCGCGTGAGGCACTTGTTGGGAAGACCGTGGAGCTGTCGCAGGATCCACATGTGAGGCCTTCTGCGACGAGTGGAGTGCCAGGGTTAGTGCGTCGGGCGTGTGCCTTAATACTGTGGACGGAAGAGAAGACGCTGCCGCAGCTTGGGCAGGGCGACGTTGATCTGCTGCTCGTCGTTCTACGAGGAGGTGCCGTGGACACGCCAGGTGGAGGTTCCGGAGGAGGTCGGGGCGGTCCTGCCTCTTCAGTGTGAGGAAGGGACGGCAGCACCGACACAGAGGGTTGCCTGTGATCTGCAGGGCGCGTGCCGGTCTGCCGAGGAGTGGGCAGGAGTCGCATTGTATCTGCGCGAAGTCGTGATTCGATGCCCGATGTCTGCCGGCACACCAGGAAGACAGCCCTCGCCACACCAACGAGCGCCTGGCGTGCGGTGTGTGCGAATTCTTCTTCCTCCTGGAATTCCTTCCAGTACAACCTCTTGACGGCGGCAAGGAATTCCACGTGCCAGATCGGGACGCCTCATTGCTGCAGGGATCGTGCAATCGTGGCTTCTTCGTCAGCGGCCTCATTGCGTGGGGCGCTGCAGTGCGATGGGGGAAATATGAGGTGTGCGGGGTGAACTCGCTTCACCAAGGAAAGCAGCATAACCCAAATCTCTTCAGCAACGCAGTCACGCACGGCCAGTGGGGCAGCGCGGAGTGCCTCAGTTGCCGACAGGGAGTCGGTTGGCACCGGGGTTTGTGTGGACGATTGGGATGTTTCCAGACTAGGAGGTATGAGATGTCTAAAGCCAATTTTCAGTGACAAGGCTCTCTGCTCCCTATGAGCGTGCGAGTATGCCGGCTGCTGCACGATGGACCTCCACAGGGAGACCATTTGTCTTTGTGGGGCTGTATAATGGTGCAGCGGATCCAGATGCGAGTGCAGCGAGTGATGAAGAACCGTCTGTCCATAATTCAAAATTATAATCTTCTAGAGAGGAGTAAAGGGAATTAAAAGCCGTGCGCTTGACATCGTCAGAGGCGTCGTTGGCAAAGGGTGGCCGATAAAATTTCACGTTATTGCAGCCCGCAGCGTCTCAGGGAATAATTCGATGTTGGGTAATAGGAGGAGCGTGATTGTGGTTGTGTGGTATCCCAATAGTGCCACATACACATTCTAATCCATTAATAACGGCATCTCTCGGAAGTGGGATTGATGTCGCCGCTTTCCCATGCATGGACAGCGGCACAGGTTCCGAGTAGATAAGGGAGCGCAAATCCTCGTGATCATGGAGGCGTATATAGCGTTTGTGTTGTGTGATTGCACGGAGCCAGAGTATCCTCCGGAGCGGGAGAAGATTGGCTTCCAATTAGACAGATGTATCTTCCGTTGGTGCACTAATGCCAAGGTGTGTTTTACAACTGTTGCGGTACAGTACTTCCATATTATGGAGGCAGATGTAGGCGAGGCATGGGACAATTGCATCGCCAGAATACAGTTACACACCATGACCGTATCCAATCGAAAAGGATTGCGTATTGTGATGGAACGCACCAGCCTGTGCAACCGGCCGCAATTGGTAGCGGCGTGGCGTTGTCTGCTTTGCAGCGGTGGAAGCGTGCGGACCAGAATTAAGAAGTCGATCGAACGTGGTGTCGAGTAAGCGCACTGGGCGTGACTGAATACGCAGGTTCCTATTGCCAGGATGGAGATCGACCATTTCCTTGTCAGACCGTGTGTGTGAAGAGGTGTGGAATAGAGCAGCTTCGCTCTTATCATCGTTGATTTTGAGGTTGTGCTCGGCAGCCCATGTCGTTATACGTGACAGGGCGGGTTGCATTGCCGCAGCACATGCATGGATGCCCGCACCTGAGGCAACAAGTATGTGTTCGTCAGCGCACATGAGTGCGGAGGCGGAATAGATGTTGTCCATGCGCCGCGGCAGATCATCCACACAGTGGAGGAAGAGCTGGGTCCCGGGACGCTGCCTTGTGGTGCTCCAGTTGAGGCGAGTTGTTTCTGGGAGTGCTG